ACATAAACAAAAACACAAACGCAACAGGCAAACACAAAAGAAAAAACAAACACAAATACAATGCAAACACAAATGCATACGCAAAAAAACACAAACAAAAACTAAAACGCATAACATAAACACAACTTAAATGCACGCATAAACACATAGTGCTCACCGTTTAGCCCCGGGGCGCTAAATCGCATCCGGCCGGGGTGCCGGCGTATCCGCCTGATTCAACTTATTATCGACTATAATACCCCAACTTATCCATAAAATAAACAAAAGGCAATATTTAAAATATCTGTATTTTATCAATCCATGCTAATTTTTTAACAGCTTGAGTTGAATTTCTTTTTAAATTACCTTCCTTAGCAAAATTATAAAAGATTTTAATTAATTAGTATTTTTACCCTACTGTTATTAAAATGAATCCAATGTTTCTAATTATCTAAGCGAAAGTATTATTTGACATTGATCCGTATAAAATATTTTAGCAATGTGTGTGTATTAAATATTTTGTTCACGTTATGCGAAAAAGTAAAAACAGTATCAACTATACAAAAAATATAAGTCGTTATTTAATGAAATCCTACCTGCGTTGCAAGTAAAAAGCACGACTTTTGATATGATTACTTTTATGGTTCCAAAATTTATAGCGATGACGGACTGACACACTACCACCAGCTTGCTTCCTACTATTAGATTTTAAATTAAGTGTATTTTGGTATTTCGACATACGAGAGCCTCCCCCCGAAGAGATGACTGGAAGAAACTCTTTATACATCTATACATAACACTAACTTTCACCACAACCACAAACATGATTATAAACAAAAACATTTCCCAATCCATCCAATCGCCATAACTATTCCACTAATTATCCTAATTGTTGTAATTATTCATATAATTACCCCTATCACTATAATTATTCTTATCCTTTATTCTTTCTTGTCCTTGTTTTTCCTCATTCCTTATCACTATCCTTATAATTATTTCTATCGCTACTCCTATCCCTATTTTAGACGTTTCCCTTTCCCTATATAGTTCCCTATCCCATTTTATTTTCTCTAATCTTTATTCATTAACCCTATCCCATTTCGTTTTCCCTATCACTATAGTTATCGATATTTTTTACCTATTCCTGTAGCTAACACTATTCTTTTCCTTATCCCTATCGCTATCACTTCTATCAACCCATCTGTTTCCTTATTTCCCATTTAATTTTCTATAACATTATCACGATTGGTTCACTTAGCAATTCAATTTCCTTTTCACTATCATTATTCATATCCCTTACCAATTCCTGTATTTTCACATATACCTACACCTGTATCCGAACACGTTACTTTGCATGTATCCATTGTTTCTTCCAGACTTTCTTCAGGGGGGGGGGGGAATGGCGGTGCGCCCCCTCCCACCCCGAAGAGATGCTTGGAAGAAACTCTGTCTGTATCAATTATTACTTTATCTCTTTACCTAACTAAATGAACGGTAGGTGATTGATTGTGGGGTAATGTCCTACAACAGTTTTTTTGGTCGGGGGGTTATACGCTGTGGTTATATACTGGGAGTAATTAATTTGAGGAGGTAATGGCGGGGGTGGGGGGAATGCCCAGGAGTATTTAACAGGTTTTTGAGGTCAATCTTTCGACACCTTATTATTCCCCTGTCCCTTTCCGCTTGACAAACATCTTAAACATATCACCTATACAGATTTTTAATTTTACAAAAGCTAAATGTTTGAATTCATTAATAACCCTTTACTCATTTGGCCTACTTTTAAAAATATAATTCAGCATAAATTCCAATCCACCATAAGTAAATAAGCACATTTTCTTGAATATCTAACGTATATTGCAAATACACAAATGGGTCGTCCATAAAAGACGGGGGTTTTGACTTTTGTGACGTTGTGTGACGAGGGGGACGGGTTCAGGCTTTTAAGACGATTAGTGAAGAGGGAGAGAGGGGCAGAGACAGTGTGACGTCACATTGTCTTAATCCCACGAATTGAGTAACATGCATTTTCTTTTTTAGTTTTAAGAAAAATAAACTTACTAAATACTTATTTTTTTTTACATAGGTTGCGATACTTCTAACAAAATGTATACTTCTGTGTAAGCTGTCAAGATTGTGAAATAAATCGTTGTTCTAATTGAATTTTCATACAATTGGACGATGTATATTGTGTAGTAGACTGCCGTATTTGCTAAAATTTAGAAATATGTATGTCTATAGATATGTAGAACCTGTTACTGATATTATTACTTAACCGTTTGTTTATTCAAAATTTGCATACTTTTGTTGTATTGATAAACAAAGTAACTTTTGTTATAGGCCTACTTTAAAAAAAATTATGTTGTTAATAAAACTTCTATACATTTTGCTAAGATTTAAGTAAGTGTGAGTATTTTTTGTCATTTTTCTTTATCCTCTTCGCTAACAGTAAAACACGCAATTTAATACTCTAGTTGAGAGCAATTTGTTTTTAAAATCTATGACATTAATATTGCTATGTGAGAGATGGTATCCATAAAGTCCATTATGTGAACTGTAACAGAGAAATTGAAGCTCTAGGCATAGTTCTAACAGTTAAACAATTCACATACTATACTAAATATATTGTTATTCTCATGTAAATCTTTATGGGTGCAAAAAATATCTAAATTTACATAAATTATTTTTAAATTATTTAATCCTTTCAGATTTATTATTGCCTCGCTGTATAAGTGTTTACCTGCTGGTTCCACGCATGGGTCCTGCACGCTCATTATTAATGCTGTGTCGACGAGCGGCAATTTTTAAACGATGAAAACACAGAACAATTGTAAATTAGGGGGGTGGGGGGGGGGGTGATGTGGAGTGTGAAGTTTTTTTGTTGGGGGCGGGGGGTGGGGGTCTGACGTTTTGTGACGATGTGTGACGCAAGGAAAAGTGGTGGGGGGGGGGGGTTAAAAAGTAGCCAAAGTAAAACCTGATTTTATTTATAGCACCATTTAAAATAATGAAAATATCTACTAATTTCATAAAATCCTTAGGCGCTTTTCTCTTTAAGAAAGATAAATAGCAACTAAACAGGTAATTATAATTATTAAAGTAAAAAAAAAGACACCAAATCACACCGGCCGTGAACGCACTGTAAATTATTTATATCAAGAAGACCTACAAATAAAATTATATATTGTCTTAATTTAAAATGATTCTATTATTATAATTCAAATTTTACTTTTTATGAAATATTGCTTCAGAGCTGAATTGTTTACTAATTATAATTTATTTTATCACTACTTAAAAGACCTAATTTCCACCATTAAAGCTCATTTCCGCCATATTAGTTATTTTTTTATGTAAGTTTAATGGAGAAGACCGAGTTGACGAGAATCAGTCCATCCTATTGTCGACATGGATTAAAAACGTGCTTTTTACTTTCTCGTATATACGAAGTATAGAGAAAGTCTTGTAATCGTGCAAAAAAAAAAAAATCGAGATTTTTACAAATCTCGACGTTTCACATCTCACTGATACGGAAAAACATAATTTTGCAATCTTTTCCGTATGTCAGTGTATCTGTGTGTGTGTGTGTGTGTGTTTATGTCTGTGTGTAAACACGATAACTTGAGTACCGTTACAGCTAGGTTGATGAAATTTTATATATAAGTATTTTATAAAAATCTTAGATCCGTATCAATTTTTGAGCGATTTCCGATAAACGGAAGTGGTACTTTTTCTACTTTGAATTTTTCAAAAGCCTATAACTTGAGTACTATGTCAGATAGATAAATGAAATTTGATATGTAAGTAAAAGATCTAATTCTCTACCTGCTGTCAAATTTTGAGTAATTTCCGTTGACCGGAAGTACTTATTTACGCAATTACTGATTTCTCAAAAAACGTATGTAAATTTATAAAGTACTAATAATATTGCGCACTATTATGCACATCTTTATTTAGCATTCACTTGGTGTGCATTTCTTTTTTCTACGAGATTATATTCTATTTTAAAAAAATTGAGTATTTAAAATGGATTAAAAATCATGTCTAGAAGTCTATATCCCGAGTTGCCATTCCCCGTAGTGTTATATAAGAATATTCGAGAAAGTTTAGGGGAGATCACTCCCGGTTTATTTAGATTTTGCAATCAAAGCGACCATAAAAATAATAAAAAAAAAATAAAAACTTAAGCCTTTAAAAAAATAAGAAATATAATATTTTTGGAATCGATTAGCTTTTCACAAAAAAACCAGTGCAAAGCCTCACCGGGACGGCTTGTATAATATAAATTAGGTGATCTTTTAGACCAGGGGTTCCCAACCTTTTTTACATTAGAGCACATTCTAAAATATCGGTAGGTCATTTTCCCATAATTTATTTTCTTATTTTCTTATTTTCTTATAGTCATAATGTATTAATAAATAATAAACCAAAATGTTTCAAAATAATAAAATTATTTGACATTTTTTTCAAATTGCATACACACAGAGAAATGTATTTACAAAACCTAAAGAAAGTAAACAAAACACATAAATACAAAGAAAACATTTAATTAAAAAATATAATAAAGTCAATGTGATCTTTGGCATTGCATTTCATTGGCAAGAGCTTCATAGTTAGGAGCGTATGACGATAATCCTGTTAGCAGACAATCATAAAAATGCTCATCGGTGAGTCGAGATCTATATCTTGATTTTATTAAGTTCATGTTTGAAAACAATGATTCACATAAATATGTCGAACCGTAAAATGATTTAATTTTATATGCCGCTTTTTTCAACAATGGGAACTTTTCTCTATCCACTGTATTCCAAAAGTCCTCTGACATTAAGGATTTGAGCAAAATATCATTCTTAAGGTCCAACATTTCTAACTCTAGTTCTTCTGTTTTACCTTGAACAAAATCTGCAATACATGCGGTTATTTCCATAACATTTATTTGGCAAGTAAACGGATTGATACAGAAGGAAACTATTGGCTCAATATGTTTAAACTGCAAAAATGTCTCTTCAAACTGTTTTTTTTTACTATTGAAGATGCTTAATAAATAATGTCCCATTTAATTCATTATCGCCTAGCATTTTCTTCATATGTGCAAAATGCACTAGAGAATTGATCTGCAGATTTGATATCAACAACTCCAATATAGCTTTAAATGACTTTACAGAGCTTATCATTTCAGCTAAGCTTTTGTCTTTACTCTGCAACTCCAAATTTAAAGAATTCAATTTTTCCATGATGTCTGTGAGAAATCCCAAATCAATCAGCCAGCCAGAGTCAGCTAGTTCATCATAATTTTCCCTTCTATTGTTTATAAATGTTTTTATTTCTTCAATTAAACTCACAAATCTTGTAAGAACCTTTCCTTTACTGAGCCAACGTACTTCAGTATGCAGAATAAGATAATTTTCTTTATCTTCAGTACCTTCTAACAGGGCCTTAAAAAGTCGGTGTTGCAAAGGAACTGCTCGAATAGAATTGATTATTTTTGTAACTATTTTCATGACGTGTTCAAATGGCAAAATTTTACAACACAGAATTTCCTGGTGGATAATACAATGGTAGGACATGAAGTTTGAAAAGGAATCTTCCTTCATGCAGAGAGCCTTCGGCGTTTATCGGATCAGTTCGTGGCGTTCGTTCTATTCGTTCACTTCGCCGCTAGACAAGTTGGGACAAGTATCGAACATATTTAATAAACCTAGGCAGTAGAAAAAAATAAAACTGTAACAAATTAATAAAAATAAATCATAATTTAAAATAATGTTTATGAAAAAAATTCTGTCTCTGTCGAATAGTGAGGGGCGGGCACATACGAATCGTTCAGCGGGCACCATGGCGTCCATGGGGACAGAGTTGGGAACCCCTGTTTTAGACGATAAGCATATTTTCAGCTTGTAAAAAATGCTTTGTTTTTACACGCTACACCCTTTAAAATGTGTCAAGAATGATGAACTGCTTGTGTCTTCTGAAGCGTTCTTGGTCGGATTTATTATGCAAATTAAATTTCCAAGTAAAACAATTGACGTCGATTCATACACATGTAAACTACCGACGTGAAATCTATTATTAGAACCTGACTTTGGAAAACGGTAATTATTCTACTTAGAATTATGCATATATATATATATATATATATATATATATATATATATATATATATATATATATATATATATATATATAAACTATAGCCACTTCGCTTGAAAGAACTTAAATACATGTTTTGCTTATTTCTCAGATTTGATAGCATTGCAGTTGTGTTTAAAAAGTGGGAATTTGCGGGACGAAATCGAGCACTGTCAAAGCCAACCAGTAAATAACAGTTGCATGTATGAAAAGCTTTGAACTATCTTCTTCGGCATTATGTGTGTTAAATATTTTTTCACGAGTTCTGCTTTTGTTATTTAGCATTTTAGCTTATAGTTTTGTGCCCTGTTTTCTTTTACTGACTTTTAAAAAAGCAGTTTTGTATCAAAATACTATCGATCTGAAATCAATGACTAGAATCTTCTTCTATTGTTCCATTCATGCATGCCACGATACGTTTTCTTTAAGTTCGCTAGGCTGTGCTGTAAAATTACATCTCAACAGTTTTATAAACATGTTCCTTATTTTCTTTTTTTACTTGTGTTCCTATGTGTTCTCTGGAAGGTACTGAATGCATATGTTATTCTTATTTGGTAGTATGTGTGTTTTTTAAATCTAAGTTTTTTTCAAACAGTGAAATTTTTAATTAGTTATTAATTTTATCCTTTCTTTTAGAATGCATGGCCTCTAATACTTTTATAAACGAACTATTCTAACTAAAGGGTCGCATCTACTATGAGGGATTGTCTAGCAGAGTATGCCGGCAACAACTGCAAGCCTGGGGATGAAGATAGGGTTTACAATGCAGTGAAAAGTATTTTATCAACGCTGCATGCATTTATTTGCAAGCCGGAGGAGACCACCATCAATACCACCTCTAGCCCCACAGTCACGACCGACAGGACCACGACGACTAGCTATGTCACGACTCAGGAAACTACCGGCAAACCAAACGATACACTCACCACCCGGATTGTCCATGATGCTACCACCACATACCCCCGCACCACCACGACCTCAGCTTCAACCAACGCAGCAGGTACCACCGCTACAACTCAAACATCGGCCACCACTGTAGACACAACATCACCGAACCAAGCCACCACTTCGCAAGCCCCACCTAATGTTGAATACGAGTGTTACAAATGTAACAGTGGCTGCAACATGAACAAACCAAACCGCAAGTGTCCCGCCAACGGTAAAATGAGGTTCAACACACCGACCATCAAGTGCACCGGCCCGTGTGTTTCATTTGTCAACACAACCAGTTAGTATTGATTTTTTAGTTCTCAGATATAAATCATGGCAATAGGCTAAACATAAGTTTACAATTGCCGACAGTTGAGCCAACACAAGAGGTTTTAGTTTAGTGCTGCTGTGATCAGAGCCCCAACGAGACTAACACACGACTAGCTAATGCAGAAGGAGCAACCATTCTTATGTTAAATGTAAATGTTGTCGGTACAAAGATTACCCATGGGGCAGCTGAAGTAGAGTTCACAAATTTTTCTTAAAATAGCAGTGCAATAATAAACAATATGCACATCGCTTTTAATTTGACTAACGTGAGTCAAGTGTTCATCAAAGTATCGTGGACTCAGAATGTCTCGGGCCCAAGCGCGGAATCCGAACTCTGGACTTCCGGGTTAGCAGTCATACGATCTATCATTCGACATCACAATTCAACAAACACGTTTCTGTTTCATTTATTTTTAAATCTTAGTAACTGGAATGTTCGGCTACTTTAAAACATTGCTTACATGTAGAATTAATCATCCTCATCAAACGAAATATAGCACTTAAATCTATCTGGACCTTTATTTATTGAACATTCCTACCGAATTTCGACTGAAAGGAATAATGACAATTTGCAGGCTTAAATGTATCCGATATAAATAATACAAATAAACCGCTGTTTAAATAAGTTTCATTGTATAACCCACTTTAAACGAGTTAGCTTCCACTTTGTTGCTACTAAATGTATTTGCTCTTGTCCTAGATGTTATTCGTGGTTGTTCAGATGGCGCCTTCCCCGACCTGACGTTCAAACCAACCAACAAATGCCTGACCTACAATTCCATGTTCATGTGTTTTTGTACTGGGGACCGCTGTAACACGAGAAACATGCAAAAAGAAGTAGTGTAGAACATACATGACCATCATACCCACACAAGGACTTCGACTTGGCTTACTTAGTGGTGAAATAAACCAATATATAAACATAAAAAAGCATCTAAGTGCATTTAAATTATTAAAGGGGAATAACACTTTATAAACTATTTTAAATATTATTTTGATTCAATTAAGGTTACTTATAACATTAAGTCTAAAGAATTGAGTATAAACTAATACACTTTATATATATATATATATATATATATATATATATATATATATATATATATATATATATATATATATATATATATATATATATATATACACACATATATACATATATATATATATATATATATATATATATATATATATATATATATATATATATATATATATAATGTGCCTTTATGATCATATTAAATTAGAAAATTTTGATACATCCATAAAAGCTTAGAGTAACGAACTTTAATTGGACCTCACTTTCTTATCAGTTTTAATAGCGTACAGTAGATTTAATTTCCAAATAGTTATTTTAGTTTTTTCTTGAGGAAAATTTCTGTTCGAATTTTAGTACATTATGTAGACCTATGCAAAACTGTTCTTAGGTCTCTATTACGTGCTTTTATACATACAATTCAAGACTTCTCGTACTATCAAAATTTAAAGGAAAATTAAGTCAATTGGCAGCCCATTGTCTAATGATTTGCTACTTCGATTTTTTTTTCTGTAAAGTCTACCAACTTGTCTTCCGAAATAAAATTAATGTTAAACTGAATATGTTGATTACATTTTTAAACTAGTGCCCCCATTACCTCGCTGAATCTATCTTTATTAAATTTAATATAATTTATGTAAGTTTAGTATCTATATATACACATTTTGATCTAAATGTTTTAAATACGGCTTCACTTTCATGATTTAAATGTGTGTTGGTTTTATTGGTTCATTATTCAATGACTTATTAAATTTATATATTCTTAAATTTGCTTAGATTTACAGTATCGTCCTTTTTGTTTACACTAACCTTTAAACTTTGGTCTGTTTGGTTATATTGTAAATTAAAACGTAAACTAATATTTCACTCATTTCGGTAGAATCGGAAGTATTGGGTGGTTAGTGTCATATCTCGAAGTTAGGACTTTGAGGTTAGGCAGTGATTAAAAGGTTGGGTTGGGAAAGTTTTGGATCCATTCTCTTACAGACAACCAAACGGTAGGTGTGTTGTATTTTAATAGAAAATAAAGAAGTTAAATCTCATAAGGACTTTGTGTTCAATTGTCTGAAATAGTCATACTTTATCACAGATTGTAATAGAATTTGTCTATCTCAGTACCGTAACGTTGAAAAAAGGAGGAAGGAACAAATCTCCTTTTAATAGGTGCATTTTAAGCTTCCTGCACGTGAAGAGTTAAAACGTGGCGAAAAGAGAAAAGCAGTTACGAAATTGAACTAAAAGAAATAATACAATATCAAGTACAACCTAAGTTTAGTTATGTTCCGTGAATATTAGTTGATTTATGGATAGAGTGTAGCATTAAAAGTGTAACACGTAAGTGTGTTAAACTGACAGAAAAAGTTATCATTAACAGTGTAGTGATTGGTAAACAAAGTGAAGATCCTCCGCCTATCTTCTTCACCCTATAATCAGTGTTTCTTCAAGACTTTTTTCTCAGGGGGGGGGACATTCTCAATTATATTTGAATACACCTATTGCTATTTATAAATACATTTTTCTTATAAAAATACATTAAAAAAATGGAGCGGCAATATACGGATTGGAAAGGATTTGATGCATTTTGCATGATTTCAATGGAGAAAATAGCATTAAGATATAAACAATTTATCATGCGAGCAGTTTTAAACTACTGTGTTAAAGTTTATTTGTCGTGTTTAGCTGCCTTTTGAGGGGAACCACCTATCGTCATATGCGATACCCAACATGCATAACTGTGACCGAGTTCTCGACAGACGATATCAAAAGCGCAGTTAAAGGTAAATATTACAGGTGAGGTTATCTACAGTTAAAGGTAAATATTACAGGCGAGGGAGGGTTATCTACCTGTAAGTGCGTGTGGGAATATTTCCTTCTTTGCTAAATGACGAAATGTTTTTTTTTAGTTTACCAAAAAGTCATTTTTAGAAACCATAATTATATTTCTACAAACAAAAGCAATACGATTTAACAGGTTTTAAAGATACATCTGTACATATAATGACGTACACGTTTTCATGTGTAAACTAAAATAAGTAGTAATAATTGGTTTAAAAATGTAGTTAGATCATTTAAACTATGTTTGTACATTAATTTTGGCAAGATTTGACACACTTAATTACATAAGCCTTATAAGAGACATTTTAATTTCGCTTCCACTTTCAGTTTCAGTTTCAGTTTCGATCCTCTTTGCATTTCGATCTGCTAAAAGAATGTTTGTATACACAGCTTGCGCAGAACGTCAATATAGGCGTGTCATAGCTTTCTACACATCAATACAAAAAATGTACATCACGTGCATTTTTTTCACGCATTGAGATCGATGTGTTATGTTTTATAAAACTTTTGCTTTGCTCCAAAGCCCTGTCTATATAGAACATATTTAAGTTGCGTAAAATATGTAAGAGATATCATGAGCGACTAATGCTTTTTATAAAAGAAAGCAAGTTATTATTATTTTCTTATTTTCAGTGCAATTAAAAGTTTGTTATTATGAATGATTTTATATTTGTTTTAATATGTCAACCGTAATAAAAGCTTTGTCACAGATTTGAATACGATGACGTCAAAAGCAGACGTTGACCGTGAAAATAAACTGAATGATGAGATAGCTGCAGCTATCCGGGGAACATTTGTCCGCCGCATCAATGCCCGGACATTTACATTTTACACCCGGACAAAAGCAACGAACGTTTTCACGAAGGAAGATTACGTAAGAGAAACAAAATTTATTATTTCCTTACGCATTAAATAACTTTTTTTGTTTAAGTTTTATTGTTTAATCGTGTACAGGAATACATTCGTTGTTTAAATACAAAGTTAGATTTTTAGGTAATATAGCTGAGTCTAAAAATGTGCTCATGTTTGCACTGACCATGATTTCTTTAAAAGGAAAATTATGTAACACGTTTTACTTGATTCAAATGAATCTTTTAGAAAAGTCTTCTTTCATAAAAAGTTAATTATAATGTTGGATTTCCTCCAACACTATAAAGTAATACTCGTCAACCTGTTATGCACCATTTGGCCCGTTGAAGCCGATTTTAGCCTGCTTTTCTTTTAGGATTTCCATAGCCTTTGTACCTCCAAGAACAAACTACAAGGATGCAGTCTAATCTTATATTCCTAATAACGAGCTTCCTTCAATTTCAAATTTTCACCGAAAAGCCTGACAAGCTTAGGAATATTCTTATATTAGTCTTAAATCTTACAAGAAGATAGCTGTGTCATTCTCTTTCGCAACTATAAAACAATTATAAATAGTGAAATGCAAATAAAATAACAACCGCTTTATATAAACAAAAAAGCAACAACAACAGAAAAAAAGCTCCAAGCTCTAGTTTTTAAAACGACTCAACCTTCTAATTGAAAAAAAAAATTGATTTAACGGTCAGAAAACGGTATCATTTAACCTATGTATCTGCTAGTCTTCATACAAATATGTTTTTACTCATATATAAAATTTTACTTTTATCCTCACAGAGTCATTTCGATTCGCAAATGGATATGGGAGCAAAGAATATAAATGAAGAAATTTTTGACACGCTCATCAAATACAAAGATTGGTTTTCTTGTCTGATCAATGCTGTCAGTGAACCTACGCTTAACCAGACGGATCTTGTACAAAGATTTAGTGATCTTAAAGGTAAGAGTGTTCATTATCGAACTTAGCAAATTAATAATTTTTGTAAAATAATGAATAAAAATAATAATTCACGAACAGAGAAATAAAGCGATAGCATGTTGGCATGTTAGAGGCGTTCAACTGCTAATCAGAAAGGACCTGGTTCGTATTGCGGATTTAACTTCGTAAGAGTCCCTGAGTCTCCACAGTCAGGGAAAGTAAAGGAGGGCGGGTATTGTGCTGACCACATTATCTGTCACAGATACAGATGAACTCTACTTCACCTGCCCCGCGTTTTGTAATGTTCGGAAGAGTTATATTCTACTTTTACTTAAGAATTAATGTGTAAATAAATTATTTAAAAAAATAAATGAATGAACTAATAAATAAATAGATGTATAAATAGATCAATAAATAAAAACAGGTAAATTAAAAAAAAAACACAACAAAGCATATTTATAATTAAATCTCATTCATCCTTTCTTTTTACATATTTCAAGATAATGTGCTTAAACAGTCTGGGGCATCAACTACACAGGTATCTATTTTATTTTAACAATATACTTACAACAATTACTTGTTTAATTAAACGAAGAACTAATTTTGTTAGATATTCACAACAACAAATTGTTTTGTAATCTATGTATCTAATGCTATGTTTTAAACATGATGTAGTGGCCATTGTGATTCTTCTATTCATTACAGCTCCCGTCGTCATCTACGAAAGGTAAGACATTTCGTTTTATTTTTTATAAGTTGGTTAAACTGTAGGCCTATGTCTCAATGTTTTAAATACGCCTAAAAGATAAGCATTAAGAAATATCGTAATGATTTATAGAAAACCTTTTTTTGTGGAATTACAGTAGTAAAAATGATAAAAGATATAAAATATGACATATATAAGCTTATAATTATTATTCTTATTATTTTGAAATTAAAATATAACTCTTTTGATTATAAATATCTTTTTTAAAATTAAGCATGCGATACTAAACATTCTTCAATCCCTGATGGCATGAGTATTTCAGAATTTCAAGGTAATGGTATTTATCCGCTTTTGCGGTCAGTTTAAGAAACTATATTAATGAGCTAATACACTTAAAATTTAACCTTTATAAGAAGTAAAAATCCATCCAACACATGTTAAATATATTTTCAGTACTTTAGCAGAGGTTATAAGTCTGTATATTACATATTTAGTGAATATTCAGACTTAACAACCAATACACTGAACATTAGCAATAGCTAACAAATAAAGCTTGTTACATTATATTTTACAATTCCTAAATAATTTATGAAAAGGAACCTTTTCTGTGTGTGTTTCTCTCTAATAAAGATCGAGTAAATCTCGTCAACGACGAACTAGCTGTCGCAATGAAAGACACGTTTGTACGTCGTATAAATGCCAGGTCCTTTTTACGATACACCAAGATGTATGAAAGCGGTATCTTTACTAAAGAAGATTACGTAAGTTGAACTCATTTGAGTAAACGATATATGATTGTTTCTTTGCAATTCAATTACATTAAAACAATTACCATTCAACATTTTTGTGAAATAAAGAAACACAATCTGATAATTTTAAAAAGTAAAGCAGCAAATCAATTTCATGTATTTTCTTCTAAGATTAGCCGTTTTCAGAAGAAAAAACGATACTACAAACCTATCTTACATCTAAAAATGTATATCGTACAGAGTTACTTCGATTTAGCGGGTAAAGAAGAACCGTCAAATTTAAACGGATATATTTTCGACACACTGATCAAGTACAAAGGATGGTTTAACTGCTTAATCGGCGCTGTTGGTCATCCCTCTCTAAACCAAGAAGATCTGGTCGGAAAGTTTACAGAATTGAAAGGTAAAAAAGTTTTAATTCGGAAAGAATTTGTATTTTCAAACTATTGTTTACATACATTTATAATTTAAAGCACACTAATATATGTATATTATTTTTTACTTTTTAAAATGTACATGTTTAATATTTGAATACATAATTTGGAATTTATTTCAAAAGATAACAATGCTATATCGAACCGATTTGTTCTTTAGGTCATAAAAATGTTCTTAATCATATGTAAAACCCTTACAAATAACAAATAATAATAAACGTGAACTTGAAAATAATTTGATTTAGTTTTAAATATATGTGGTATACGCTGATAATGATAGTTAACAATTTAGAAGAGAAATTGGTGTACTTAAGGCATTAAGGGGTAAATTAGAATTTACATATCTGTGTCGACTATTAAGATAATGAGTTTCAAATTACACAGACACACACTCATATATATATATATATATATATATATATATATATATATATATATATATATATATATATATATATATATATATATATATAAAATGTATACATAACAGATGAGGTTCTGGAAACGTTGATCTCAAGGTCAAAGGTAATATATTTATTTTTTCTTTAACAAAATAGATAAAAATATTATAGTAAAACATACTGAGTTAATAAAGCTAGGCATGGTTTCTCAGTTAAACGCTTATATCTTACATCCTATAAAAATACTAAACATCTAAATAAATAAATGTCTTTATATCTAAATTATTTCATTGAAAATGTTTCTTTGTTTCAGGCTACATCTTCGTCCGTCATTCGTATGTATTTCATTAAGTCTTTATTGTTATTTACATGGTTTAATTATTACTTTATTGTCATAATTTATTTTAATAAAATATTACTAAAAATAAAATATATTTGCACTGAAGTACATTATTTTAATAATTAATATAAATTGATTAGATACCCTTTTTGTTAAAGCTGGTATATTAGTATTTTTAAAATTAAAAAAAAAATAGTATTCCTAAGAGGTTTAAAGGTACTAAAATTTGCACAGGTTTTTACAGTTTTTCATTAATGTATCCAACGGTATAAATCAATAAAAATAGGAAAATATAAATTAAAATATAAAAAATGAATGTATAAATTTGTGAGTGTGTCTATCATAGCGTGTGTATTTTATGCATTGCTACATCCGAAAGTCATGAAACTTTAGTAATTTGTTAACAATACGCCAGACTTTTTTTTTACATTAAAATAACTCAGTTTTAGAATATAAGGTCATGCATCTAAAAATACATGATTCATGAGACAATAATGAAATCCTTTTACAATGTTGATTCCGACTTTCTTCTAAGATCGTATCGATGCGCGATGAATAAGCTAGTGTTAGTTTAATTGATTTGTTTCTCTGTTAATGAAAAACCGCAAAATCAAAGAAACAACCCAAAAATAAATGTATGTATTAGCATAATAAAGTATTTTTAAAGGAGTTCAAAAAATTAATTTAATCATCAAGAAGCGTCAACCTTGGGGTGGTGGGGAAGGGGGCAAACTGACCAAGGGCGCGCCCAAATGGGTTGGGAGGGGTGACGCTTTTTTGTAAACTTGAATTACCTAATGTGAATGTGTGGAAGGGGGGGGGGGGGGGGCGCAGAAATAATAGTCTTTTCTGGGCGCCGGAATGGGTTGCTATATGTCTGTTATATGCCCATTTCTATAGAAATAGTTTTTGAATCATATTTGAAGAGAACACCACTAATTTAATATATTTTCATTATAACAAAAAAACAGAAACACAAGCGAAGAAAAAAGCAATAAAAACATCTGAGCCCAATGAAACATTGACAGAAAAATATGGTAATTGAACTCTACCTATTGACATGTGGTCCAAAAATGAAACCATTAGATAGTTCTGTAATAAGTTTACTTGTAAAATAGACCGAACTATTACTACAGCCTTTCTTTATAACATATTCATGGAATACACACATTAATAGAAATCCTATTTTAAGTCATTCGAACAAATTTATCTACTATAAACGAAATGTCATTACAATATGCCTTTGTAATAGTCCTCTTTATATACGTATTTAATAGTTTGAAACTAATTCAATTTAAATTCAATTTATTGATATATATATATATATATATATATATATATATATATATATATATATATATATATATATATATATATATATATATATATATATATAAATTGTCAAAATGTTAAAGATCTTCATAATATCTCTAGAGCCAGCTGTAAAGAAAATGAAGATAGACAAAGAAGAAAAGAAATCTAGGAACACACAAAGGAAACCGGGTGGGATTTTCGTTTACACAATAATTTATTTTTTATCGTTTTGTTGTTCTTTGAAATAAAACTCTTCAGGTTTTAGTTTAATTATATTATATTAAAATGTATAATATACTTTCTACTACATTCAAACAACGATCTAATGTAAATAAAATTATTCAATAAGCCCTTTCCTTTTTATTTCTAATTCACTTAATTTCTTTCTAATATCTGTTTTTTTTAAAAACTAGACTGGTGCAAATGTGGATTATGCGATGTAAATGAAGACAGAATTGAAGTGTGTTGCTATGATTTTCATAAGTTAATTGTGGAAAACTATATGAAAAAGAAAAAAACAACTGTGTTCGAAGCAGAGAAATGCATGACCATGTGGTCAAAAATGACTACACGTGTTCTAAGTAAATCTTATCTAACGAGAGAAACTAACTGGAAATCATATAAGCTGCAGACCGACCCAAATAATGACCCGTAAGTGAAGAACTTATAAAACTGTAAATTACCCTCCGCAATTAAACAATATATATATATATATATATATATATATATATATATATATATATATATATATATATATATATATATATATATATATATATATATATATATAATCGAACTCTTGTAAGACGTGATATTTTTTTTACTTTTTTTCGCAAATGGTTGTTTATTTTAAATATCTGTATTCTCTTTTGACAATGTACAACTTTCGTCCTTATATGTTAATAAACACAAATTTAAAAATTTATAAAATCCACACTTTATTACCCCACAGGAAAGAATTGTATCGACTCGGCTGCTGCCATTTTAGAACTTTTGTGAACGCCCAGTTCACGACTGAGAAAACCATCGCTGTGCCGTCTTGTGTCATCAAAAAACTCAGGTCACTTTGTGTGGTTAAAAAAGCTAAATCTGCTACCACAACATAGGTTTCTTTAAAATGTGTATATTCGTAATACTTTGTTCACGTAGCACTAAATAGATAACAGCATGAAATAGATCAAAGCAATAAGCAATGTAAAATTTTATTTAAAAACTGAAGATAATTAAAAACAATAAATTGTGAAAAATAATTCAAAATTCGTTTTTTTCCCTGTTTATTTTATTATTATTTTTAAAAATCTTAACAGATACATTGAATGTAAAGCAAAATTAAAAGTTTAAAACAAAAAACTTTTAATCATATCTATAATATTCCTTTTAAAAAATAGAAATATTATTTCTATCCAGAGTTAATTTTCAAATGATAAAATAAAAAATAAAATTTTCAACAGCTCATTTTAAGCTGCAGTTTTGAATTATTAATTGTCAAAGTCAAGAAATTTAACGGCTAAAAGCTTTTAAATACTGATTGAAGTGTTTTCCACCTTACTTGTGTAATGTTAAAACATATACCCTTAAGAAACAGTGACAAAAAAAAATCATTTTCCATCTTTTTTTAGAAGGAGGAGGGGCGCTTTTTCCAAGACTAAAATTCGGTAAAAATTTACACTGGATTAATGAGTTGACAAACTTTATCACTTATAAAGGAAAGCAATTGTATTACAGCGTATTGAACGATTGTGTAACATTAAAGAAGTTTTAGTGGCGTGTAAAACCCGCTCTACAACTTTGTCAAAGATGGTGCCGGGGGGAGCGAAAGGGGGTTATTGGCCCATTTTTCGCCAAAAATAATCGTAAGGACTTGTTTTGGATGGTGAGTAGATAACAGCTTTAACATTTAGAATAGAAACACATTGTATTAACGCTATGTGTACGATTTCACTAGCCAGTTTTGTTAAGAAATGACGAGCTACTTCTTTGTACAATTATTACGATTCTCAACTTCAACGTGAGAGATGAGATACTTTTACTAGATTGCATTACATCTCACCAGGATCACTGTTTTAAATTAAATGTCACGTATTATTGTATCGCTATCTGATCAGTAAAATAGCATACGGCGGGTGGGTTGAAGGCGACACTCTTTGCAAAGTATTTAAGAGAGAAGAACATTACTATATTGTATTGAATATATCATTTTTGATAGTTTTTAGCGCAATTTCCTTACAGGAATTGCGATTATTAACTCGTCATTTCTGGATGGATGTGTGTCCGCAGCTTTAGTCCGCAGCTTTAAGTCGTATCTCCTCCTCAACGAAGCAATATCGAGGACTAGTTCCAAAAGCAAATATGTTAAGCAAGTTCCGAGGATGATTGTGGGCCAAAAAAATCCCCGGAATTCCTCCCTGGATTTCCCGGAAAAGCCAAAAAACCTCGAAATTCTGGATGGATGGATGTGTGTCCGCAGCTTTAAGTCGTATCTGCTCCTCAGCGAAGCAATATCGAGGACTAGTTCCAAAAGCAAATTTGTTAAGCAAGTTCCGAGGATGATTGTGGGCCAAAAAAATTCCCGGAATTCCTTCCTGGGTTTCCCGGAAAAGCCAAAAAAACTCGAAAAAAAAATGCAGTTTTTGGCCCATATCTCGGCAACCAGACCACTTAGCGAAACATTTACCAATCGATTCCTGCCATAATTTAGAACAATATTGCCGAAGAAAGTTTTCAAACATATCCTTTCGTTTGGTCACAAAAAATTAATTAAGGAAATTGCGCTTAAATTGTCACTAGACTTTTTATTAACTTGTTTTTTATAACAAGTCCTAATACTGCAATTTTTACATAGTTAAGGCCACTTAACCTACTAAAGAAGGTAAAAAAAAGGTACGACAAGACGTCTGCAACTACTTTGATAATTTGTTCAAGCTAACTAATATTTGAAAACTGTAATATATTATTATCGAAATTGTTCTAAATACACGACCAAAAATTATACCAAATAAGCTTGCACCTTCTACAAACTACACTCTAAAGCAGTGGTTTTTAACCTTTTTGGAGGTCACGAACCCCACCACTTTTATACGCGCATTCACCGAACCCTTCTTAAGAGTTGTATCATCCACACTGACAAAATCTGATCGTGAATCATATGAGGCGGAAGCCCTGAGAATGAATTACCGAACCTATTGAGTTCAATGGAACCCACTGTTCAAAACTGTTTGATTTTCTTATTTTTATTTGTTTCGGCTTCCTAAGGAGCATAGGCGTTGGCAACACTATATCAACTTACCTGATTTTTATTAAGATCGAACCGTATAATCCAGTATCCCCCTTCTTTATTTCAAACGATTTTCTTCATGCCTTATTTGGTCTTTTTCTGTTGCTCTTTCCGCGTGGACTCCACGAAAGCATCTGCACCTGTATAGTGACGTTATTATTTGTCTTTCTTACAATGTGCCCTAACCCCCACCTTTTCATCCTTCACTGTGTAACCTAGCTCCGAGCCATACAGTAAAAGATACATCATATATAGCTATAGATCCTGATTACATTTTTACTTTCTCGTATATACGAAGTATAGAGAAAGTATTGTAATCGTGCAAAAAAAAATCGAGATTTTTACAGATCTCGACGTTTTACACCTCACTGATACGGAAAAACATAATTTTGCAATCTTGTCCGTATGTCTGTGTGTGTGTCTGTGTGTCTGTGTGTCTGTGTGTCTGTGTGTCCGTGTGTAAACACGATAACTTGAGTACCGTTACAGCTAGGTTGATGAAATTTCATATATAAGTATTTTATCAAAATCGTTGATCCGTATCAACTTTTGAGCGATTTCCGATAACCGGAAGTGGTACTTTTCCTACTTTGAATTTTTCAAAAGCCTATAACTAGAGTACTATTTCAGATAGATAAATGAAATTTCACATGTAAGTAAAAGATCTAATTCTCTACCTTCTGTAAAATTTTGAGTAATTTCCGTTGACTAGAATTAGTAATTTACGCTACTTCCGATTTCTCAAAAAACTAATCTAAATTTTAAAAGTACTAATAATATTGCGCACTATTATGCGCTTTTTTATTTGGCGTTCACTTGGTGTGCAATTAATTTGTGTACGAGATTTTATTCTATTTTTAAAACTTTAAGTATTTAAAATGGATTAAAAATCATGTCTATAGCCCGAGTTCCCATCCCCTGTTATTTTATATAAGAATATTCGAGAAAGTTTAGGGGAGATCACTCCCGGTTTATTTTGACAATGCATTTGAATTCCACATTGACTTAGAATGTTAATACTCATTTTATTGCTGTTGAATCTAATCAGAACGCCATGGGCGGTGCCAATATCATTAAACCGGTTATTTTAACTTCTTAAACCAGTACAAATAGTTTGGCATTTGTTGTTGACTGAGTGCGAGAAGGCAGCGCACATCTGATAAAATCAAGAGCTATTGTGTCCGTTACATTCCAGTTTGTTTCCTCTAGCTTGTTTCGCTATACAATCAACCAGTTAACAAAATACTCATATCGTATTACAATCAAACATCAAAATTAGTCTTTTTTTCCTGGACTGTCACACACACATACACACACACACACATATATATATATATATTATATATATACATATATATATATATATATATATATATATATATATATATATATATATATATATATATATATATATATATATGGGGGGGGGGGCAAACTGAATGTTCGGGACGGGTCGC